TCTGGCATGCTCCTGGGGATGTTTCTACTGTGTTTGCCTGCCCTCAGCTGCCCCGCTTGTTGCTGCCTGCCTCACTTGGTTCCAGCTGACTGTTCAGCTGGTCATTTTGTTGTCCAGCTGGACCCTCAGCTGATTTTTAGCCGTTTCTCGTCTTCTGGGTTGCTGATGGGTCCTCCTCCCTCCATGAAGATTTCTTCTCCCCTTTCTTCTTGTCTTGCAGCATTAAAGCCATTTCTGGCTTGGTCCCCTTTTGTTGCTTGTTGGTTCTTTGCTTCTTGTAATTATTCCTTTCATATATTTCATATTTTTCATTTTCTTAAAAAAAAAAAAATATATGGTTCTGCACTGTTAACTACTATGTTATTTGTGTTATGTATGTGGTCCAGAGTGGCTCAGATAGTAGCAGTTGTTATAGGTGTAGATGTTGCTGATGGTAAAGGATAAGGTACTACTTGTACCAGAAGCATTATAGGTGTAGATTTTACACTCACAAACATAAGTCTCTTGACAGTGGTCCATGTAGGAATTTTTTTTGTTGTATTTACATATGCTATGTTCCTTGGATTTTGATTGCTCTTCGTACAGCTATGCTATCAAATTTTTGAAGCCTTCCTTGAGGCTTTTGGCAATACAATTCATGCCCCAAGGTTGTGACTTGTGAGCCTCTGCCTCCTTTAGGAAAATATTTTGTTGCTATAATTTCTCAATTAATCAATTTTACTAATTTTTAAAACAGGTGTGTAGTCATATTTTGTATAAACGTAGTTCAAAGTATCACTTAAAATGATGCCTTTTTTTATGTGTTTATTTCCTTTAACAGGGTGTGGAAACATGTTGTTGAGCTATACAACATTTGTCAGAGTAAAATGGAGGAAATTGTTCCAAAGGGCATCATGGTGAGGTATGCACTAAATATTCAGCATACCTATTCTGGTTTTGAGTCATTATTTTCTAAATCACGTCACTTCAACATTGTCTTATATTTAAACCCCCCCCCTACAGTATTCTTACTGAATACATTAGTCTTACACTGTTCATGCCACTTGGGCTATTTCATCTAATTTCTTGGTTCCGGCTTGGGGTTCTAGGAAGCAATGGATTTCTTTGCTACTGGGGTGGTTTGAAAGCTGCCTGTTTCTGAGGTGTTGATCCTCTCAGCTGATCCATGTTTTTTGGGATTGAATGATGGTGGCTGCTGCATATTTTGGACCAAGTTTATATGATTTTCTAAAGAGAAATAGATACTGCCCATTTCCTGTGGATCTTGTTTGGGAATTTGGACATCAGCTTTTGGAATTTGTAGCATGTATGTGGATTAATCTTGGCCTTGAATTATATCTCAATTTCCGTATTCTTTTAGTTTTATATCGTCGCTAAAATAAATAATCTAACATTTAAAACAAAATAAAGTCTAAATTTCAATTTTTGACATTTTTTACGACAGTTTCTGAAAACGTCGCCAAAGGGTGACACTCCTAATTCTACTGGCAGGGAAAATTGCAGAAAATCGCAAATTTAATTATTTTGTGCGACGTTTTTGTAAAACGTCGCAAATAGTAAAATTTTCGTAAATAAAAAAAATTAAAAAATAGCAATCTAATTGTTTTTTTGCGAGGTTTTCAAAAAACGTCGCCAATATAATTGTGAGATTTCTTGTTTACCAATTTTTTATGATTTGTCATCCAACAGATATGCATGATTTACTGTTAATTCACACTGACCTGAAGCCTGAAAATATACTGGACTATGTTTTTTGAATGGGCTTTAGTCTAGACTTGATACATGTGTTTGAGGTATTCTGGTTGCTTGATTTGTATGCTTCCATAAAAAATCGAACAGTAAATAAACTAGGAGGAGGCAGAAAACCTCTTACGAGTAGCATTGATCCCCCGTTGATCATGTTGCAGTAAAAGTCTGATAGAGAAAGGCATATCACCTTGATACAATCCTGTTAAAGTATGTTCTATCCAACTTTTTAATAGTGTATTTCATTTTTTCTGTTTTGCCATTTATTCTTGGTTCATGTATTATGTTCTTAGTTTTAAAAAAAAAAAATTAGTTGTGGTAATATATTATCGCTATATGTTTTAGGCTAAGCTTCTGATTACTTCTTGTTCAATTTCAAAGTTTCGTTTAAATTCACAACTAAAATGTCTTTCTTATGTGTTATATCTCAGGTGAACTGTGTTGTAATGCGTGGATTCAATGACGATGAAATCTGTGATTTCGTAAATCCAAGTAAGGCTTGGTGCACAACCCATTTCACATGTGAAAGCTGAAATCATACGTTTTTGCATTCATGCTGTGTGGATTGCTAATCATTTGCTGTTGATGCAACAACCTATATTGTACTGGCATCTACATAGTTCTCTCTTTATGCTTTTGTTTGTTTTCTTTGTTGTGATTTTGTGGCATTTTGTGGGCAATCAATAACATAATCTGTGGTCTTTTCTGCATGATTGTAGCGAGTGCATGTCTTATTTCAGCTTGGGATCACTTTCAGCTTTTTTTTTTCTCTTAATTCTCTTCAATTATAGATGACGTATTGGTCAATGATAAGTGATCTACCATTAACAGAAATGAAGAAAATGCAGTAGTAGGGGTAATCACACAAACAAATGATGAAAAGGTTGTTGAGGTAAGTTGCTCAGTTCTGAAATTGTGATACTGGCTAGCACTGCACTGATTTTTCTCTTAGTTTATCCAAACTATTTTATCAACACTTGTTTCCATTGTAAATGATTCATCTCTCTTTCAATACTCTTATTTTGCTTTTATTAATTTTTCAGAAAGTGGTATTCTACCACTAGATGGATGGTTAGTTTTGCATCAGCATCAGTCCAAGATCCCAATTGCTCGGAGGAGGAAGGTTGTGTGTGGTGATCAGTTTGTTTATGTAGATCCTGGCTGGATAGTGTTGAGCTTTGACATGATATTTCAATGCATGGAGCTGGACTGTTGGAGCAGTTCAAGTTTAAGAGACATTAAATGTAATTAGATGTGGTTTAAATCCTTTTGAAGGATTAAAACTATTTTTTCTATTTTTAGGACTTTTTGTTCTTTGATTCTTGTAATTCATTCTTTTAGGAAATAAAATTTTTTTTTTTTTAAAAAGATATTAAATGTATTAATTATGTTAATTTTTATTAAACATAGGTATTATTGGTGTACAGGCGAAAAATTTTACTGGAAAAATGATTTTTTTATATAAAATCAAAAAAAAATGAACTTTTTTGCGACAAAATAAAAATCGTCGCGAAAATTACAGTCCCAACCTTTTTTGCGACGAATTTTTTACGTCGCAAATATGTTTATTCAATTATTTTTTACATATTTTTAATTAAAAATATTATTTGCGATGATTTTTTTTACGTCGCTAACAATTAATTAAATTATTTTTTACTTCTTTTATTAAAATAATATTTGCGATGAACTTTTTAACGTCGCAAAAAATTAATTTAATTATTATTTTTTACATTTTTAATTTATTAAAAAACTATTCCCGACGCTTTTTTTACGTCGCAAAAACTTAATTAAATTATTATATTAACCATTTTTATTTATGTAAAAATTTATTTGCGACGATTTATTAACGTCGTGAAAAATTATTTTAATTATATTTTTATTAAAAAAATTTTGGGCGACTATTTATTTACGTCGCAAAAAATTAATTAAATTATTATTTTAATATTTTTATGCTAGGGGGAATTTAGGTTTTAGCTACATTTTTTTTAACTTTTCGCGACGTTTTTTTTTTGGTCGCAAAATTTTATTGCGATAAAAGTAAATTTGTGTCGCAAAAGACTTTCTGCGACGAGGCTATTGCGATGAAAATAAAACGTCGCAAAAAATATTTTGCGACGATTTCTTTTAATTTAGCGACGAAAAAATCGTCGCAAAAAAAGGATTTTTGTTGTAGTGTCAACCGATTTCATATCATAGCCACACTAAGAAGATAATGGAAAGAGATTAGTGGCATTGAGTGACATGATTCACACTTACTGGTAAAACTCCTACCCCTACAAAATAAACATTAGAAGTTGCAAACAAATGTTTATTATTTATGGAAAAATCACGTTACAGGACAAAGCTAAAATTGCACATTATGATCTTTTTGAAGCATGTGTTGTTGAGTCAATTGGCCTTCATCGACCCACTCTTGTTCACCAAATTGATTTCATTTTGTACTTTAAATTTAGATGTGGTCTAATAAAGGCATAGGGAAAGACCTATCTATCTAGTTTCTCTTGAGTGGAGGGTTCGGAAAAGGAAAAGGTGGAGAATATATTAATATGTTATGATTAATATTAATAAGTTAGTAAATGGTAGATAATGTTGCTCTTATGCATTTTTTTAAGGGTAAATATGAAATTCAAAAGTTTTTCATAGATCTTGACATTAAGAAATAATATAGATATAGATATATCAAGTTTATTTTTAATGTTGTCACCATTCAAATCTTGAAATTTTAATTTATTGTCCTTTAAAGGATTCATTAAGTGCACAAGAAATGATCTTATCTTTCCCAACTTTTCAAAATCTAAGGATTAAATTGTGTTTAAAGAGTTAATTAAGGTTAAAATATAAAATAAAAGCTTTTCATGTTAAGGGGTTTTTACAAGTAGTATAGATATAAATTAACAATAAATTGTCACAAGGCATGTATGCTCCTTTTCGGAAAGTTAATGTGTGACATATATAGCATTTGTGTCCCACTATCCATGAACGTATTCTAGATAGTGTTTCACTCCTCGCAACGATACGCAATTCTCGCCTATGAAGAGCCTTTGACTTTCTAATATCATATGATCGACTCTTTCATTTGCATATACATGATATTTTGTTTTTATTAAGGACACAAACAAGAAGATTTGGGATGGGCTAAACATAAGAAAGAATGAAAAATACAGTCTGTATCAAAGTGAGAAAAAGCAACAGAACAGCAACAAAAAATGATATGATTGCCCACGGACTATTGAAATAGTTCCTCCTTAGATTTGTCATCCATACATTTCGATGTCGCCCCCTCTTGCAACATTCTTTGCAAGGTTGGTCGACAAGGCGTGAATAGCTACATCATTTCCTAACCAATGAATGATAATTCCACAACGCCGAAGTAACTCAACATCCTTTGAGGAATTGATGCGACGATACATGAAGATTATATAATCAGTAACATATGTGCAAGTTACTATTGGACAATACTGTTTGTATACAATTAGATTTTTAAATATAGTTTTTGTCCAATCCTTAATAAATAAAGATTGGATTTCCAACACTCCATTGGTGAACTTGATATCCAACAAACTAATACTTCCCTTGGCCTCCTTTAACTCAATTCCGGCTTCTTGGAGTTCTGTGGTACAATTTATGAACTCCCACTCCTCATCATGATCACCAACATTTCTATGAGACACCATTTGAGCAAGCGATAAACATAGAAAATCATGTGCCGAGCCAAGTAGATGGTTGACATCTTTGATTGTCATCCAAGCATAAACGTCTCGATTTAATTTCAAATTACTGAAGAATTGGGCAAGGAAAAAATGAGTTAGACTCATGATGGAGTGTTGTGGATATAAAACTTTGATCATGTCAAACAATTGAACTACGATAAAGAATGGAAGTTGATTTTCGTATAAAAATAAATCATGAATTAGGCTAAATTGAACCTGATTCATGGTTAGAGGGTCACCCTTGTTTATCAAATTATGGAAATTGTACTTTAGGATAAACTCGAGGAGAAAGCACCCGTCAAGAAGCATCATTTCTACAAACTCATCATTACTAAGGCTGATTGGTTCTGCATAACATTTGCGCACTCTATCTTTTAGGTCTTTCATGGCCATCTAGTATCTTTCGACACTTGACTCTTGCGCTCGTGTAAAGAGCTCTTGTAAACACCACAATTTGTGTTCTTCCATCGCCTGAGGTTTCCCATGATGATATGGACCAATTGCGATTATTTCAGGTTCATATGCTTTCACATTTATCCTGTGCAAATGATCATGCACTCTGAAGAGGTTATGTTCAGAGGGTATCGGAGATAAGCGAGCAAGTTTATGGTCTATACTTGTATAGGAATGATCAGCACTTTTGTTGGACATTATTCACTCCTTGATGCAAAATATAAGGTCCCTGTGGCAAACATGTTTTGATGGAAAGATAGTTGAGTTGTCATCCCTAAAATTGAAATTCGAAAAATATTACCACAACATGGCAAAGTTTGAACGATATTTCCCATCAAACAACTACTCAACTAGTTTTATATTGTACACACATGATTGCACTTTTTAAAATAATAAAAAAAAGGTAAAATCATATAATATTTGTAACGCCCCAAAAATCAGAGATTGCTTAATTTAACAAAATACGGGGAGCTCTACCCAAAACACAACATGCGTAATTATACTACATTGACCACACCAGGTCCATTTATAAGTGAACATTAAAACAGTCCATATGAGTTCGATTTGTAATGCCCCAAAATTCTCCTTGGACAACATTACTATCTAAAATCATTCACATCATAAGATCACTAAATAAATCAATTAAATAATAAAATTTCATTCACCATATGTAATATCCACAATATGATTCCAAAAGAATAGACCAAGCTATGACAATTACATTCTAAAAGAATTATATTTAAACTTAGCAGCGGAATAAACAAAATAATAGACTATACATGATCGTAAATAAACTCCCTAGTCTAGCTCAAAAATAAACTATAGCTCTAGACGTTCACCTCGGGATCTAAGTTTCACTTTGGTGGAGCCTCCCAATTTCCTGGCTCGTCAATTCCGGGATCTTCCTCTAGCACGAAGTCTGAAAAAAAAAATATTATTGGTAGGGGGTGAGCACTAAGCTATGTAGGAAAATCCTTCCAAACTCTAATATGGATTGGAAAACATAGAAAACGGTCGGTCTCATTTCACAAATAGTATACTTAAATTTTGAAAGAAAACATGATATTTTTAAAAGATCTCAAGTTTATACATTAACAATAATTAAGTACAATAGTAATGTCAATCCCACCATAAATAACCATTCCAAAGAGTAATCATTTCCACAACAATTTCTAAGATAATCACATCCAAAATATAACGCAATAAACAATAACTACAATGTATCTCAAGTATGATGTAAGATAATCGCATGAATAAACACATAGATAATATCCTGGCCCACACACACACAAATCCTCGTAAGGATATCAAACTTCGGGAAGGGCGTCTACCGATGCATGGTCTCATACCAATGCACCAGAAATAACGAATTCGACCCAGACATAATATACTAATCTTCTGACACGACACCCGTGAGCTAATAGTGGTTTGGTTCTCACAAGGCACCAACCCCACTACGAGTGATAGGAAAAGTTCAAACCCGCACGGAGTAAGAACCACACACATCTACCCACTCTACGATACCCAGTCAACGGCCACCCATGGTCATCCAAACACCTCTATGAGATACAATCACCAACAATTTCTCAACAAAAGTTCATAATTCCCAAAATTTCTCGTATATTATCTAATAGAACCATGTAAGAAAAATAGACAAAAGATCAACATCAATACCATTTTATTGTTTAATGGAAAGCCTAAAGTTTGAAAATCAAGAACAAAGGAAATATGGAGAGAAAAATCCATTTTTCTTAAAATCTAAGGTTTGAAGATGAAAAAGAGAGCTTTAATGGTTACTCAACCATCACATCGTTTAAAACATGACATTTATTGCAAGAATAACAAGAATTAAAGATTTTATAACATACATATTGAATTTAGAGTCAAAAGAGTATATATATTCATAAGCCCTAGCCTTAATATGAGAGAATGAGAAGAAATCCCTATCTTGAATCCAAAGTTCCAAGCCAAAACCCAGGCTCTAGAGACTTTCTTCCTCCCTTTTCATTCTCCCTTTGTCTTCTCCTAGGCTTCTAAGAGGTTTGGGGTGAGAGATGTGAGAAAAAATGGAAGAAAAGGGGCTGATATCTGCGTTTTAAACACAGTAGTCCCCGAAAGTTACTGTTCATATGCTGATTTTTGGGTTTTCTCCAAAATTACAGTTTTGCCATTAAAAATCTCAAATTTGATCCATATGACTACTCTAAGTTTTTTTGACATTTTCGGATTCATTTTTAATGTTATTTTAACCTAAAAATATTTAGTTTTATGATTTATCTCAAAACTAAAGTAAATTTACACTCAAAACACTAAAATTACTATTTTATTCTTTCGAACCGCTATATGTGCTAAACAGCTATTCCAAGTTTTTCGGATCTCCCAGATTTAATGATTATAATATTTTGACCTAAAAAAAATTAATATTTTTACTTAGTTATCCTTATCAACCTTAAACACCTCAAAAAATTAAATTTTACAATCAATTTGCCTCACTAGTATTTATTCCTACTATTACAATCTATAGGGTTTATGCATACCTCATCACCTATATTAGCATTTTAAAAATAATTATTTGCTATATAAAGATAAGAGTGTGGGGGTTTACAATATTCTAATTCATTATATGAAAGAAGGAAAGGCAAGAGAGAATGTTTTGATAGGAAAGCCATACATTTTAGATCCATGGTTAAAAAATGTTTAACACGGATTCAGTCTAATATATATATTTTAGTACTACTTGAGTACTACTTGTATGGGTGAAAACTCAGTTACTTATAATGAGTACTACTTGAATTTATGAAGGACAATCTATACTGGAGAGAAATCACATTGGATGGGATCAAAATCCGTCTTCAAATAGTGACTTCATTATGCCTATCCAAGGTGATCAAGGACTAATATTGATGTACAAATGGTCTTTTTTAAAAACTTGATCATTTTCATGTTTAAAATTTCCAAATTAAAAATAAAAACATATATGAGGTTTTGACAATTATATCAAATAACCCATAAGTTGATTAGAATTAGGCGTAGAATTAACATACTAAAAATGAATGCAAATAACCCAAAGAGAAAAGTATGAAACAAAGTGAAAATTATATAAGCCAAACAACAAAGGTTTGAAACTTAACTGTTGGAATCTTCACTCACATGCTCACCTGCTATATCTTTTCTTTGGAATTGATTTTCCTGCCTTTTCTATTGCGGAAAAGGAAAATGTTGATGACAATGCGAACCACGAAGAATTTGATTTTATAGTGAGAGAAAAGAAAATAATTGTCCTAAGCGAAGAATATCTTTTGGCGGCATTGTGTACCATTTCCGATATCAACAAGTATTTGAGTTTGGAGCAATTTGAAATTTATTGACATAGTTCAAAAGACACTACGAGAAAACAAATAATTTTCTTGGAAACACCAATAACACTCTGACCTTTCAAAGTATTCTGAAACCTAAAAGATTATGAAGACTTCTACCACCAAATGTTTGTAACTTTACATAGTATTTGAAAATTTAGGGCTTTTTACACTTACTAGCATGAAAGATTTTAAATTTTTATTTTGTACCCTCAAAAATTAGATTTTTTATATTATATTCTGAATGTATCAAAAGTGTTACCAATGTGACCCATCTGTTAATTTTCATTATTTTTTTTGTCAAAAGTCAACTCATTGACACTAACGAAAAAACTAAAATAAAGGATTACATTGCAATACTTTCGATACATTAAGAGTGTAATGTAAAAATTTTAATTTTTGAGGGTACAAAGTAAGAATTATGAAATCTTTTAAGGTCCAAAGTAAAATTCGCTCAACTTGTTTTATCGTTTCTAGCATTATGAAACTATCAACTCGTATGTATGAATGATGAACTATTATTTGTCCATAACTGATTCATTTTTCCTAAATGATTGGCCGAATTTCTATGAGATTATGTTATAACTCAAGGATAAAGCTGTGTTGCATAAATTTGTTTACCAAATCTTGTATCTCAAATGATGTGTTAAAATTTCATGTATTGAATATTTGGTGGAGTTAGTGAACCCCACTAATCTAACCACCTATATTGATTTGGAATACAAAATTTGGACAACAATTTGATCAGTTAGCATTGCTTAAATTAATAATCATAATTGAGAGTGCAAGGCGAGAAACATAACAAATGAGGGGGCAATATAAGATAGGGGCTATAGTTCAAAAATCAAAGCGTACTTTTTGCGTGTTACTCGTAATGTCGTAGAAGAGAGACCCGGTCAATGTCTTCTTAGTCTTTTTTTATCTATGTCATTGAAAACGAGTGAGTTTTTTAAAACTTGAGAGAACTTCCTTGAGTTTGCGTTGTATATGTCTTTGTCTTGTTCAAATTCTATGCTAATTTGCAGAAAATATTGGGCGTAACGAACCAATAAAACTGCATAAATTTGCTCACTGCCATCCCTATTAGCCAGTTTGTCACATCATTTATCAAACACAGATTCAATTGCTTTAGAATAAAACGGTTTTAGATTCAATCGTTTTAGAATAACACTGTTTTAGATTCAATCATTTATCAAACACATCATTTTAATAATTTCTTTATACCGCCGTTTTCAAATACTCACCGGTTACGATTATAGATCCCCTTCCAACCCCTCCTCTGCCCCTTATGTTGCACCACCACCTTAAGCTCGCTCCATACGGTGGAAATGACAAATACCATATGGTATTCCATCACCACCACCACCACCAAGAAAGAAAATAAAAGAAAAAAAGTATTGACGAGATATAGATCTGCACATGGTACATTGAGGGCATAAACGAACACCAAGCAGAGTAGTAGACTATTTGAACTTGACTCGTATATGTAAGGATACATTTGTTTTCATGGATTTAGATGAGGTTGTCAATGTTGACCAACAATACTCGAGGGGGGTTGGCTACAGGACAGTCAAAGACCTTTTTGGTACTATATTAAAATTTATCATATTTGTAGATGCTTTTATTATTGTTGTAGTATCCAAAAAAATAGTAAAAATAACTACCATAACAATGATAAAAACATCCACAAATATGATAAAAATACCCACAAAAGTGATAAATTTTTTTGTACTTAAGAAAAGTGGTAAAAATAATTACCACAATATGATAAAAACACTCACAAAAATGATTCATCAACTACTTAAGTGGTATAAAACAATTAATGAAACTGTTAATAATAAGAGACAAATATTGGGTGGTTGAGTCTAGGTGACCTAACCACTGAAGGCAATAATGGTGGCCAGAGAACTCTATTGATGAGAGAATACAAGGTAGTTGGAAAGAGAGCAAAAGCATGCTCAAGGTGTAGTGTGTGAGATTTGCCCCAATGTGTAAGAGGATTTATAATTTATAAACACAGACCCCTAGTGAAACGGTGATGTGAGAGTCAAGATACACATCAGGGAGAATAACTACAATTGAGGATAAATACTATCTTAGAGTTATGGTTATCCCGATGATTGTTCTTCTACTTGCATTGACTCTTCCTAGATTCTTGAGTTTTGAACTGGAATGAAGTCATGAGCTAAGTCTAGTCTACCTTTTGATGGTTTGGACTCCACCCATGAATTGGGTCTAAACTTGGTCCGAATGTGAGCCGGTTAATACCAAAACTTTTTTGGCCATACGGTAGTCAAATCCATACTTTAGACCTTAGGCTCAAATTTTAGATGAGAGTCTAATTTTTAAAAACAAAAATTAAACAAAGCACAAGCCCAAAACAGCAACATAATATAACTCAAAGATAATGACAAAGAAAATTAGAATGCAAACCGCAACTAGAGGAAAACAAATCCTTGTTAGAGGTTGACCCCTTATCTCCTAATTAAAAATAGGGTAAAAATCATAGTGATCTCACAACTATGTCTTCGATTTTAATTTGGTTCCTTATCTTTCAAATCTCTCAATTTAGCCTCTTAATTATTAATTTTGTCTTAATTAAGCAGTCTTATTAATTTTATCATTAAACCAACTAGAGACTAACCCAATTTAATCTATTTTAAAATTACTTTAATTTGTGAAAATGGACGGAATGATTTAATTAAGATAAAATTGATAGTTGAAGAACTAAATAAAGACAATTGAAAGTTCAAGGACCAAATTAAAACCAAAATTAAAGTTCAAGGATCAATTGTAATTTTTATCCCTAAAAATATTTGGTGAGTTTCGATAATTCCAGTTAGGGAATAAATTTGTCGGGTCCCTTATTGAGAGGTGCTAATCAATGGACCTTTCGATTTGCCCGTATGATTAAGCCACCTAAAATCATCCAAAAATATGCATTTTGATCGAGAGAAAGCTGCACAATAGCACCAATGAGTGAAATGATCGACAACGGGCTGTTGAAATAATCTTGCTTTAATTTGGCATATGTCCTTATTATGCCTTAATTTTGCCATCCGAATATACTGAGGTCGTTTGCAATGCTCACTAACTTCAGTGGACACTTTCCAATATCAAAACCTATCTGGAGCCATTATAATAGTACAGCCCAATTTGTTAAGCACGGTGAAAACCACGTCATCTTCCCTTGACAAGTACTCAATAATTCTACATTGACGAAGTCGTTTGGCATCCTCTGGGGACTAGGATAAGGACATTTATAAATTTCAACATAACTGGTCGCATAAATTCATTAACCCTACTATACTGCTCGAATGCAATTAGGTTTTTGAAAAATAACTCTATACAATCATTAATGTCAATAGTCGAGATTCACATAATCCCATTTTCGAAACGTATATCCAGTAGTACTAGTATAGCGTAGTTTGTGCTCGACTCATTTTTAGGTGCTCTTTAGCATAGTTTGTGCCCCTCAATTATTTTTAGGTGTTCTTTAGTATGGTGATAATGATCAATTGTGTGTATTTCTAGTTCATAAGCTTTTTATTTCTTTATTTTTGTGGTAATAGGTCATCTACTCTAAAGAAATACGGCCCATTTTGAAAATTTAATAGGTATTATTATGTCCAAGAAAATTTTGGTACCCTTTTTCGAAGAGTTAATCCTCTCCAGTCCCGCCACCTGTGGTACACAAAGCACTATGGTACGTTGTAACATTGAGTATTATATGATTTTTTTTTTTTTGAGAGAAAGTAGAGTCGAGCTCATTACATTCCAAAGCCAACATTAGCTCATCTCAAAGGAGGCAAAGTAGAAGGTTTTGGGCGAGCTTAGCTCAATATATACAGAGCCTAAATAGTGTCCATTATACTGAGCTAGTCCATTAGTGATACCATTTTTGTAAGGCATGAACCTGAAATCATGTAAAGCCCTAAAAATGTGCGGGTTTTCGAAAACTAATCCAAGCAACTCTCATGGAAAGGCACAAAATGGACTCCCAATTTACAAAACAACGTACACATTAACAAAAAACAAAGAATATTGCTTAAATTTGATCTTCACAACTTGATAGCACGAGCTTATCAAATAGGATTTAGTGTCAGAGGTATGTACAGCAAGCAGAGAAAAAAGAATTATTATCTTGTATAAGTAGTTAATTCATAGGAATGGGTTTTGAACATCCTAGAGTGGACCCTAGCGGAGAAGTAGCGAAGCCGTCCGATGATTCTGATCTTTCATCTGAGCCTTATGATGATGGTATATTGATGGCTCATATGCTGGAGATTTTTTCGGGATTATTATTGCCTTCAAACTTGTTGTATGAATCTGCTCATGACGATGTGTTAGACTTCATCACTTGCTTTTTGGTCGTCCATCGGTTATGGTGGTGGATGTGCACGGCCGTGGTTTGGAAAACTTGGTGCACATGGAACATCTATGCAACCGTGGAGAAGATGGATAATGAGGATCTGGGATCTATTGACAAGAAGATGGATAATAACTTGAATTTAAATTTTCAAATTTTATGGAAAAAATCTTACGGACAAATCTCTATTGGGCGTGAATCAAGGGGTAACTGATTTTTTAATTTTGAAACTTTCACGTTAAAATTTGATTTGACCGTAAAAATAAGAGCATTTTTGTATATATAAAAAAAAGTTTGGACTTAATTACTTATTAAACAAATAATAGAAGGACTTAACATCAAATATATTTAATGGATTTAAGTTTCCCACTTTGCACCTTTAAAAATTAAATTTTTCATATTGTACTTTCAATGTATCAAAAATATTTCAATGTAGCATTTTTGCTAACTTTCTGCTAGTTTTTTTGTTAGTATCAATGAGTTAGCTTTTAACAGAAAAAATAACGGAAGTTAACAAAAGGGTCACAGTACAACATTTTTGATACATTGAGGATGTAATATAAAAAAAAATATTCTCTGAGGGTGTAAAGTGAAAAATTTTAAATATTTCCGGATTCAAAATGCAAAAAACCTTTAAGTCATTATAAATTTCCTAAAAAAAAAATTCACCCCCAATTATCACTTTCAAATGACCTTATATTAGCCCAATAGTTTTAATAAGTATATCATATTTAGGTCAATATACAAACTAAAAACCTAGAAAAAAGTGTCATGTTCAAGTTCTTCCCAATCATTTAAGAACTCCTATCGCATGAAATTTAGAATGGGTCATGACGGAACACTAAACGATTGTTGTATCAGACCACGATCCCTAAAAGGGATTTTGATAGGAGATATGCCCTAGCAGACTCCAGGGAAAGATTCTTCTCGGGCCTGATCAATCAATGCTAAGCACGAGTGTAGGCCCTCGGTGATGCAACGAGTTAAAGAGAATGATTATTTTCATAGACACATCATGTCATTTCTTATGTTGAATATCGAAAAATCTGAATAAAAACATGACCCTTATAACATGGACTTCTTAGGGGTGCCATATTTAACGCTCAGTGTCAATGCAATGAGTGTTCGACACAACTCAAAAAATATTTGACAACAGTGATTAAATGCTAAGGGGACGTGTAGTAGGTGTTCGGTGCCCTAAGTGGAGTAATTATTGTATAACAAGGTCCCGAGGAGCCGTCGACTTTTCCCAAGCCTAGTAATTATGCGGCTCGAGAGAAGGGTAGCTCAGGAATGATTACCCCTTATGAGGGCTCTCCAACCGACTTGATAGGACCCGTAAAATGTCATATCATCATCTTTGAAGGTATATATAATCCAATAAATTGGATTTCAGGTACACATTCACAACCAATCCAACACAGTAAAAAAAACATTATCCACCCTTTTAGCACCTACTAACTTAGGCATTAGAGGGGATAAGTTGGACAAGCCTCTGCCCCTGCTGACTCTGTTCTTTGTTTCAAGATATCCATACAATCCTCGCCTTGGTGCCACTATCTCAGACCATTGCACGAATTCACCCATGCAATTTGGCTCCATCTTTGGCAAGTATTTAAACCAAGCCTTTCCCTGTAGTTGTCACCATGGTGCAAACATGGTCTCAAGGCAATGTGGAAGATAACCTTCGTGTTAGGAATACCAGCAACCTGCTCGTCACCCTTGTCATATCCAGGTCTTTGGATCAATCAGATGGAATCCGTTATGCCATCCAATCGAGTCCTTGCCCGCGAGCTGGTGGACTTGATAGAAAAAAGGCTGGGTGATCGGCTCCAGAAGATCGAGAAAGACAATGCCAATGTTATTAAGCTGCTCAAGGATTATGAACTCTGGACTGGAACCTCGCAAGGTGGTAGCCACCTTAGAAAGGGGGTGACCAACCGGGGACACCCGCATGATACGTTCCCAAGAACTCTCGGGAAGTCTGCTCCAAGATGACCTCCGCCATCACCCGGAGCAAAAGGCCTCAGAGTTCAAGAGTTGTTCATTCCCAAACAAGATTTGGGGTCAAATCACACTAGCCACATAATCCTTTAAAAACAAAAATATCCGTCAACTCCCTTTTATGTTTTTCATTGCAAAGCTGAATAAAGCTGCAAAGTGCATAGTACATGGAATTGGTTACATTATTTAATGTTGATGTTTACCTCAATATTTTTAGAGCAATGCTACATGAACTTATTTTTTGAGACGTAATTTAATGCGGTCATTGGATTAGTAGTAAGTTGACTCTAATGCGGTCATTACCGTAGTAATTTAATGCGGTCATTTTTTGAGACGCAATATGTTTGACTCTTGTTTGACAGATCTTCTGCTATGAATTCATATTGGACACCCTTCAGTTTCAGAGCAGTCTCCACTCTTTCGGCTAAATGGGCTTCCCTTAACACCAAACAGCTTCACTTCTTCTGTCATTGTCTCTCTCTCACAGTTCTTACACTTCCAACGACTATGTGATGTAGCTTTTTCAGTGTTGATTTTTCTTCACATAGAGTGATGCTGACCCCTAGCTAGGATACAAAATTGACTATTGTGATTTGTGGAAATATAAATATTGAAGATTCCGATACTACCCTATCCTTGAAATTTCCATTCCATTGACGTAATTAACACGTGTAGCTGAAAGTTAAAAAAATTGTCCAATATGAATTGAAATTAAGTTCAATTCAACTTTAATCGAAATTGGATTATTGGATTGAACTACCGGAGCTAGTATTTGGATTTCATCACGTGTTTAATCAACCTAAGACACTGAATATTCAAGATTAGTTTAAATTGACTTATATTGTATCGTGGTAAATTGTCTTCATGTCACAGTATCGCTCACGTAACTTCGGATATTTTTGCAATCACTACTAATAAAGGATTATGTGGGATCAAATCTTATGATTGAAATAATGTTGCAATCTCACACTCATTAAGTAAGAGAGTTCAACAGTACTTAATCAATGTATGAGCATGTCACATTAAATGGAGATCTGAGAATTTACCTGTGGTATGACCTCAGCTACCTTAGCCATTAAGGTTCATCATTATCTAAATATAGTTTCAGGTAACCTAAGTTGACCGATAGTACATATATATAGTATATAAATGAATTATTTAAGTGGGGTCGGTTTTGGTTGTTGAGCAATATGCCATAAATAAATCAAGGGGCTTAATATGGTCACTTTATGAACCCAGTAATGAAGAGGCCAAATAAGAACAAGGGTATTTTTTTAAAGCAAAAAAAAAAAAATAAATAAATAATACTTTACTGAAGCAAATTGTAGATAATTGTAGATAAATAATANCCCAGTAATGAAGAGGCCAAATAAGAACAAGGGTATTTTTTTAAAGCAAAAAAAAAATAAAAATAAATAAATAATACTTTACTGAAGCAAATTGTAGATAATTGTAGATAAATAATACAATTATAGATAAAACCCATTTTTAATCTCAAGTCTCCAAATTATGTTCAGATAGCATTTTTGATATCTTTATCCACTATACATGAAATTCTTGACTACTCTCCAGTTTCTTTTATGCTTTCATGGTAAACCCAAATTCAGCTTGGTACAATACAAGTGTACTTACCCAAAAGGAAAAAGAAATTCAGCTCAATAATTTTGCTTTATTTCATTTTATGCATTTAAATTTAGATCGTGTCATCTCATATATATATTTTTTTCTGGTGGTACACTATAGTGCAGCATTGGTTCCACACATGCTTGTTAACTTGAACGTGTGTCAAAGTACAAAAAAAATGGTTTGGAACCCAATTCGAAAAGCTAGAGTTCTTAAAATTGAGTCTCCTCGTTGGGGCCGTTCACACAAATTTAAATTATTGGGGCATTGGTTGTGTATTATGATGCTTTAAGATGTCCAGACATGAATGTCACAAAAAAGAAGAGATGAAAGGAAATATAGTAAACATAATAATTCTAAAAGCAACTATTTACTACTTTCACAAGTATTGAACTGGTAGTCAGCTTCAAATTGTGGCTTAAGATCTGTTTCACTGATTATTTGATACAACAAAATCATTTGACATAAAAATTGAACACATGATTTCTCCCCCCGGGGGATGGGGAGGGAACAAGTGGGATCCGTTTAGAAATAGGAAAGAGCAGAAAATATAGTTTGTGCCACAGTGAGTAGGAGGAGCACAACAGCAGCCAGAAATGAAATGAGTGCCCATGGGCTGTTGAAATAATTGTGTCTTAAGTTTGCCATCCATTTGTTGTAAGGTGACTTGCAATGCTTATTCAAGTTGTTGAAAACTTGAAAGTAACTAAACTTTGTCGAGAGCGTGACACTGTTGACAAGCTTGTTTAACGTGTTGCAAACCACAATGCCATCACCTAAACCATTGGTGATAATTCTACAGCAGCGAAGAAATGAGGCATCCTTTGGAGAGTTGACAAGGCAATCCATAAGTAGGGCATAATCAGTGACATATCTTCGATGAGTCTCATCAGGAAGAAACTGTTCATATGCAATTAAGTTTCGTAAGATGGATTCAGTGTCATCACCAATAAGCAATCGGGGAATTTCCATCAACCCATTATTGAACTTAATATCAAACAAATTGTTACTTCCCTCATCCACCTTGAATGCAATTCCAGCCTCTTGGAGATCTGTGATAGTATTTATTAACTCGAATTTGTCGACCTCGAATCTGGTAACCTCACCACAGGACTCGACTTTTTTAGCAAATGAATAGCACATACTACCATGTATTAGGTGAAGTAGATGCTTGACTTCGTCCTCTGGTATATTCGAAACGTGTGAAACTGCTGGCCCTGGCAATATATTGTCCAGCAAAGACAATGCCAGATGACTAATGTCTTCTTGTGTGTCTGAATCTCTCGTCATGTTGAACAAGTGGACAAGGATAAAAAATGGAAGTTGATTTTCCAATAGTAATAAATCACCACATATGACACCTAGCATTCTAGAAGATTGAACAATAGGGTCATTTGTATAACTCGATCGAGCATTCCACTTGCGAAATAATTCAATGACAAATATCCCGTCGAGAAGCACCATTTTCACAAACTCAACTTTGTTGAGGCCACTAGATTCTGCATAACATGTTCTCGTCCTCTCTTCCATGTCACTTAGGGCCATAACGTATTTATTCACACTCTTCTCATTTCTCCGATGAAGCAATAGTTGTAGGTACCGCATTTTGTGCTCTTCCATCTCTTGTAAGTTGTCTTTACCGTGGTGAAAAGGACCAATCGCAATTATTTTTGGTTCATAGGCTTTCTCATTTTCAATGCGCAGTTCGCGGAACACTTTGAAAATGCAAGGATTCAATGGTGTAGGAGGTAAGCAAGCAAGCTCTTGGTCTATACTTAAGGCGATGTGATCAATTGTTTGAGACATCTTTGGCCTGCAGAAGTAAAATCCGTCTCTGTGTGGCCTACATACCAAAGAATATGCTAAATGCTAAGTTGAATGGCCATACCTAAGATCAAATGTGAGGAAGCCAATGGTGGTAATTTATCATGTATACGCCTAGCTAAGTGTAGGTTTGTGAAAACTAATCAAAGCTGCTTTCATCGAAGGCATAAAATGGATTTCTAATTACCAGAAGGCAATNATATGCTAAATGCTAAGTTGAATGGCCATACCTAAGATCAAATGTGAGGAAGCCAATGGTGGTAATTTATCATGTATACGCCTAGCTAAGTGTAGGTTTGTGAAAACTAATCAAAGCTGCTTTCATCGAAGGCATAAAATGGACTTCTAATTACCAGAAGGCAATTTTTTTTTTTTTAGTATTTCCACAAAGAAGATCTCGTAAAATTAATTTTTTTTTAGTCGAGAAATATACAAAACTACAAACTTCTTGAGCAAACACAGCAAATATTGCACTAAAGTGATCTGCGTAGCTTTATAACACTAATGGCAGGTTTAGCATAAGTGATTTCCATATGCAAATAGAGAAAGAAATAGAAGGGTAAAAAATAAAAAATCTCATAACTAAGTCTCAGTCTTATTTCTCCCCCTTTATTTTTACGAGTTGCACATAACTTCCTTCAACTTGTGAAGAAACTACAAATCTAACAGACTATGTTTATTATAATGACGGCTAATTGCACACGCTAATTTAGCGTGTGTTATAAATAAATAAATTTTTTCTTAAATTAAAAAATTAAATTACCAATTTTACCCTTCGTCTTCCTCTCTCTCAACTCTTTTTTTCTCTCTCCAGACCTGCAAATTCATTTTTGACCTGTCAAACTACTTGCTTTTTTAAAATTAAGGTCATTTTTTAATTCATTGACCTCAAATTAGCTAGACTCAACCCCACTTTTGAAGTTTTAACTTCAAATTTTTGATTTTCAAGTTTTCAAACCCTAGTGGGTTTCTTCACCACACACCACGGCCATGACTTTCAAGCACTCCAATAAACTGTACTACAACCCCATAACACAACCAAAGCCTCAATTAAGGAAATGGTCGTTTGCTATGAAAACCATTTGAAAATCCATAACCACTTTAAGCTTCAAACACAAATTCGAGCAGACACTCTATATGGAAGCTTAAATCTAATCACACCAATGAAATTCTCATGAAAAAATAAGCCTGATAAAGTTGAGTTTATGTATTATAAGTCTCTAAATCAAAACCTAAAATTCTCTCTCTCTCTCTCCCCTTTGTTTTGGCCTTCTTCACAACTTGCAGAGGAATTTGTGGGGTGTAGTGGTAACGGAGTTGGAGTTGGAGGCGGGTTGTGGTGGTGGAGTGCGACTATAGTGGTAGAAGTGTGCTAGTTGCAGGTTTTATTTTTAAATATAAGGGCTCTACAATAATGGCATGACAAGAAAATTGGATTATAATCAACGGGTAGTTTAGTCATTTTGTATAAACTGTTATCTCTAAAAAATAAAAAATCTCTATTAATATTTGTAATTTGTTCACAAGTTGAAGGGAGTTAAATGCAACCCGTAAAAGTACAATGGGTAAATTACATTGGATGATATTAGGGCAAAAGTTCTTTATCTTTTAGATGGATTACATTCACGTATCAGGGCAAGTTGAAACAAAATCATTTAATTTGGAAGGGAGGGCAAAATGAGATGTCTTTCCCTCAAATTTTCAACTGGCATTAATTATTGGGACAATACTTCAAGGTGATAGATTAAAAACATGATAATTTAGGGGGTAATGTAAGACATAAGACATAGTTCAGAGGGTTAAAATGTATTTTTCACTATTACTCGTACTGCCATTGAAGCGCGTCCCAGTCCATGTCTTCTCTGCCTTTTTATATAGATAAATTTTATGTTTTATTGTCAAACATTGGATGATAGCGAGTCCCAGTAATCCAACGGCTGACAATACTTGGTGCACAAATTTGGTAAAAATATCAAGGTTTGTTCAAGTTATATCTGCCTCACTTCTAATCATGTATCTAATTGGGACCATTGATTAAACAGATTAAACAAATCAACTTAATTATGTCCCGAACCCATTGATAATTCATACCTACTCAGATTCTATGTTACGCGGGCTAGTAAGCATGAAATTTATATTAAAATATAAGATTAAGAGAGAATTACACTCAGACCCTCTAAAGTTTGTCACTTAAAATTCATATTCCCTAACATTTAAAATATTACACACATACCCCATGAAGTTTAAACATACGTAACATTTAGACCCTTACTGTAAATATATTTATTAATAAATTATACTTAGATCTCCCTAAAATTTGTAAGTATATAATACTTAGACCTCTTAAGTTTAAAATATTATACTTAAACAGAAAATGCTCCAAGTAAAAATAGAATATCAAATATTTTACTTTTTACAACCAAAATATAATTGTAAAATTTTGATTTTACAATCATTTATTGAAATAGACAATATAATTGTACAGTAATTACGATTTTTGAAGAAAAAAATAAATTTTTAATTATAATTTTATTTCAATAAATGATACAATAGAATATGAATTTTAATTATAAAATTTAAAATATTTGTTATTTTATCTCTGATTGAAGTATTTTTGGTCTAAGTATAACATTTTAAACTTAAAGAGTCTAAGCAAAATATGTTTACAAACTTCAGGTANTCAAGGTGATAGATTAAAAACATGATAATTTAGGGGGTAATGTAAGACATAAGACATAGTTCAGAGGGTTAAAATGTATTTTTCACTATTACTCGTACTGCCATTGAAGCGCGTCCCAGTCCATGTCTTCTCTGCCTTTTTATATAGATAAATTTTATGTTTTATTGTCAAACATTGGATGATAGCGAGTCCCAGTAATCCAACGGCTGACAATACTTGGTGCACAAATTTGGTAAAAATATCAAGGTTTGTTCAAGTTATATCTGCCTCACTTCTAATCATGTATCTAATTGGGACCATTGATTAAACAGATTAAACAAATCAACTTAATTATGTCCCGAACCCATTGATAATTCATACCTACTCATTTCGTTCTAGATTGATGTTTTAGTCAATATCGGATCATNGCCTCACTTCTAATCATGTATCTAATTGGGACCATTGATTAAACAGATTAAACAAATCAACTTAATTATGTCCCGAACCCATTGATAATTCATACCTACTCAGATTCTATGTTACGCGGGCTAGTAAGCATGAAATTTATATTAAAATATAAGATTAAGAGAGAATTACACTCAGACCCTCTAAAGTTTGTCACTTAAAATTCATATTCCCTAACATTTAAAATATTACACACATACCCCATGAAGTTTAAACATACGTAACATTTAGACCCTTACTGTAAATATATTTATTAATAAATTATACTTAGATCTCCCTAAAATTTGTAAGTATATAATACTTAGACCTCTTAAGTTTAAAATATTATACTTAAACAGAAAATGCTCCAAGTAAAAATAGAATATCAAATATTTTACTTTTTACAACCAAAATATAATTGTAAAATTTTGATTTTACAATCATTTATTGAAATAGACAATATAATTGTACAGTAATTACGATTTTTGAAGAAAAAAATAAATTTTTAATTTTAATTTTATTTCAATAAATGATACAATAGAATATGAATTTTAATTATAAAATTTAAAATATTTGTTATTTTATCTCTGATTAAAGTATTTTTGGTCTAAGTATAACATTTTAAACTTAAAGAGTCTAAGCAAAATATGTTTACAAACTTCAGGTGGTCTAGGTGTAATTTATTAACAAATATATTTGCAACAGGATCTAAGTATTATGTCTGTGTAAATTTTAGGAGGTATGTGTATAATATTTCAATTGTCAGGGATTTGTGTGATTAAGAAGGAGAAATAATTCTTTATTTACAGGCACTGATATTTACTCTACTTCTTTTTTTTTTTAGTCTACATGTAACATTCTGTGTTTGTTACATAATTTCTTCATATGATTGGTTCAAAATAAGTTACATGATATCTTCATATGAGTGGTTCAAAATGATACTAAAAATTACTTTAATTCAATTCAACTCAATAATTTTTTTCTACTTTTTGGTATTATATCATAGTAAAAACTTGGATTTGCAAGGATCTATTTTTTTTACTGCGGTGAAAAAATGAACTTAATATGGTCTCCTATATCCTTCTCTTGTAATATTTGCACACTCGCAATAATCATGCGTCTGAAGACACTCCGTAATATCAAAATCGAACATTGATAGTACAATGTTTATATTTTAAATAATAATTTATTTTTCTTTAATTACGTAATTAAAAATTATAGTGGACATGGAGAAGATATGATAGAAGTAAGGGAGAGAGAAGAGAGGTAAATTGAGTTATTGGGGTTTTCTAGTATTGAAGAGTTTGTTAATTGAGTTGTCTGATATTGATGGTCGTGTACGGAAGATGATGCTTTTAGGTAGAAATTTTTAATTTTGTTTTCAATAAATTTTATACTATTAGATGAAATTAAATGAATATTGTATTAATCTTAACCGTTATTATACTTTTATATATAAATGTAAAATTTAAATTGGTAGCTATTAGATAGATTTGAGAAGTGATGTGGTGAGGACCCAACTTAAATTTTTGTAGGAAAAATTACATTTTTGTAAGAACTTGTCAAAGCAATTTTCATCGAAGGCATAAAATGGACTCTTAATGCCATCCTAAAATCTCTTTTGAATTTAGTATGTGTCAATTTTTCTTTTGTTTTTTGAAATTGTTTATATCTTCACATAGAAGAACAATCATTGTAGAATTAAGAAAATTTTGACAAAGCAATTTCAAAAATTAGACTACTTGAGCAAAAGTAACAAATATTGGGATAATTGATCTATAGAGCTATATAACACAGGAACCAAATAGAGGAAAAAAAAGTAATGATACTTGTATATATTGAAAATTCGTAGGATTGGATTTTGAAGAACTTACTTGAAATATTTTTCGGTGCTCGACAGAAATATTATGTGAAGATGTGACAAGAAAGAAGAAGAAAATGATGACGAAGAAGAAGAAGTAGAAGCAACTCATGATAGAAAGGGAGCTAGAAAGAATTCTCATTTATAGGCAGTTGATTATTAATGTCCTCAACTTTTCTTAATTTAACTATTATTGAGTCATATAATATGAATTTCTTTTTGCTTTTTTGTCCAGAATATAATATGAAATTCTTGAATGGAAACAAAAGCTTGGAGACAGAAATTTCAAGGAAGAGCACATGAGATAACATAGTGGAGTAGCAATCTGGGGGAGGTATCCTCTATCCTTTTTTTATTACTTAAATAAATTACACTTTGATCTTCTTGACTCTAACTTCAGTCTCGTTGCATTCTTCAACTATTGAATCTCTCACATTATTCTTCAACTACTTGAATTGATTTTATATTAGCCCATATGCAAAAGTTCGTCATCTTTTTAGATGGATAACATCCATGTATCTAGACACATAATAAAACTGATTTAACTCAAAGAGAAAAAATTCAGACATTTTTCCCTCAAATTTGTAGTGAAATGTAAAACTAATAACAATAATTGAAAGTACAAGGCGATAAACATAATAACTCAAAGGGGAAATATGAGATAAAGGCTATAGTTCGAAGGGTCAAAGTGTACTTCTTTCCTCTTACTTGTAATGTTGTGGTACAGAGACCTCGGCAATGTCTCCTCGGTCTTTTTTTATTTGTCCTTGAAAACGTGTGAGGGTTTTTTAAAAAATTAGGCATTGAATTTTTATCAAATATCATATCGAAAACCAAAGATATGTATCAGATACATGTCAAACATAATCAATAATAAATAAAATATATGGATATTTCACGGATCCTTCTATGTGCAGAGAATTATATGTAATTTTTATTTTTAATCTTTACCCATTCCTTTTAATTTTACATAGGACACAATACATTAACAAAAAAATTATTATCACATGTCCCATGAGTTTAAATGAGTTGATTACTCTTTAATCTTAACAACAAATATTTCTAAACAAATAATATAATTAAATATTGGTTCTTATTTCCTTAATTAAGCACGTTCATTTTGTAGATGGATCTTAGTGAGACGATAGATAACTTTAAAAAAAAATTATTAAAGTTGTTTATTATTGTTAAAAAATTACTAAAAATTATAGACATTAAGTCTTTACATAATAGTAAAATATATATATTATAGATGTATTCTAACTGTACTCGTTTTTTATTTTTTGAAATTTTACTATATCCCTATATTTGTATTCTATCATATTGTACTCTTATTTTGTATCGGTATCTGTATTTCTTAGATGAGTAGGGAGACCATTGTCTCCTTTAATTTAAAGTAGCAGCAATCAATATACATGTGGAGAATGATTTCTTATCCAATCAATCACACCCCCTTTTTTTTTTTTTGTTTTTTGGAGTTTCCTACTTTTTTCTTTGTTTTTATCGCAAGCGAAACGATTTTTATAATTTAAGCACCCAACTTGGTAGACCCATTGGACTGTTCTAATTGTCTAGTCCCATGTAAGAATCAACAACAATACATCGTCATTCTGGCTTTGAAGCGGATGTTATAGGCGCGTCATTCGTTTTTAACTAAAAAGTATTTTTATCAAAATAATTGTCAACTCCTTATCACTTTTTGAGAAAATATATTCAGATTTTTTAAGGTTTGTCACTTAATCACTCAGACATTTGAAATATTACACACAAACCTCTGAAAGTTTGTACCCGCGTAACAACTTAGATACATCCAAATATTCCATTAGACCCTTGTCGTCAATGTCTGTTATTAAACTACATCCATTCTCCCTGAAGTTTATAATCGTGTAAT